CACGTGACTTTAATAACATTTATTACTTAATGGAAACACTGCAGTTGTGAAACTGTGTTTTTTCAACATTAACAGAATATCAACAAAGTTTTGCGCACATTTGTAATGGAAACACAGCTTATGGATGGAGGACAACAGAGCTGCTTTATGGAAGAAGAACCTCAGCTTAGCCTGTTAGCCTTTGTGCTAGCACTGACGCTATATTGCCTTATGTATTAGCTCGGTGCTAGCGCAACAGACTAACAAGCTAAACTGAGGTCCTCCATCCATATTTTCAGTTACAGGCTGAGTCATTTGCTACAACTAATCCTGGATCCCTTTAAGAAGGAATGGTTTTAGTTCAATTATGCGTCAAGAGTTAAATTGATCTGTGAGTTTTATAGTTTAATATTCATCGGCCTGTTTTGTTTTTCCTCAGTCACACGAGAAGGTGAGCACGCGACTGCACCAACGCTTCCAAGCCTGGGTGGAGGCGTGGCTCAAACAGAACGTCCCCTGCGACATGAGCAGTGAAACCAACATGTGGCTGATGGGCGAAGGGCGGGACGGCCTGCTGCCCTGCACCACCACACGCCACCCAGAGCTCCTCCACTTTATGAACATTAACAAGTACCGAGTCAAATACGGCACGCCGAGCAAGGCGCCGTAGCCGTCCAGAGAAAGGCTTGTTGTTTGGTCAGGAGCAGAGGTAGAGATGAGGGCGTATAGATGTTTTTAGAGCCAACATGAGAGCACAATGATGGTAGTTACCTTGTGTGTGTGTTGCATCCAGGGCGGCAGGGTTACACACTTTTTCTTTTTCTTTTAACCAGTGTTTTTAGCTAGGCCCTTTTGTTCCACTGGGCCTTTTGGTGCCAAAACCTTGGAATGGTTCCAGTCCAGTGGCAGACCTGAGCTCTTCAAGCAGCACTCAGAGCCTCGTCACAAACTTCCTTCAGCCAGTTCCATGGGGCTGGGAAAAGAGAAGTGGTGCTTTTTGTATTTTATCAAAACGCAGCTTCATTTTAGCATTTTTGTCTTGTTTTGTTTTTCCAAAAGCCATCAGAGGTCCGTGAAACAGATCTGTATCTATTTATGAGAAAATAATAAGATGGACAAGTGCACTTATTTGAGAAGAAGGAAAGGTTTTTACGTCATTCAGGGTGGGGGTAACGACTGGGGGGAGCTCAGTCATGTCTAACAGATCTGGTTTGGACATTCCTGCTGTAATGGCCATATCACAATCATGAAATATTTTTCTGAAACACATGGCAGCATTGTTAGAAACTGTGCCTGAGCCCCAAACTGTCTGCTGAGGTTTATTGTAAAAAAGCACTGTTGCATTTAAAAAAAACAAAACTGAGCCTCACAACTCCGTTTGGTCTCACACTATAAAACTGTACAGCATGTACATGTCAGAAACGTGTGTGTGTGTGTGTGTGTGTGTGTGTGTGTGTGTGTGTGTGTGTGTGTGTGTGTGTGTGTGTG